ATTAAATAAAAAATCATTTCTCCATTTTTATTATATTATACATTTTTTTTAACATCGGTGTGTGATTTACATTGCCTTCGATTGTTCAAAAATTATAAGAGATTAACGTATAGCTTACGCTATCTTTAATTCTCTTTCAACGTTGTTCATAATCAAAATTCAAATTCAAATACTTGATTTACGAATAAAATATTTTTTAACGATTTGCAATATAGTTGTGTGATCTCCCTTCACTTTCTGTATTGTTTCTCGTAGATTACATGTATAACCGCGTTATCTTGTATTCTAAATATTATAATTTTACAAAATAATTTTAATTTCAAAATAAATTTTCTTTTACTAAACCTAATTTTAATCAACTAATTTCATAATTTTTAGATAGAACTACGTAGCTTTGAGTTCCCCATTGCACCCGGAGATACGTAGGAGCGGAAACCGAACCCGTCAAGTCAAAATAATTTTTAAAATAACCCAAATAATATTTCAATAAATAATATTTCTTCTTCTAAAATAAAATAATTAATGTTTAGGGGTTAAATAAATATTTTTCAAAATTAGAATGAATTTGCACAATTAATTTTAGGTAACCGTTTTTAAACGGACGTTGTAGGGTGCTAATACCTTCCCTACACGTAAATGACTCCCGAACTCATTTTTGGTTTCAAAGATCATATTATATTTAAGTTTTTCCAAGGTTTTTCTTAAAATAAACGTTGGTGGCGACTCCTCTGATACTTTTTAAAAAAACGTTTTTCGCCGTACCGTTGCGACCGCCCGGTTGCGACACTCTCCAAAAAGAAAAACAAATTTCCAAAACCTTGCAAAATCCATCCCATTATATAGTCAAGGAAAATTTTCCTCGGTAATTCAGATAGAGCTAGAATTTTGGGACAAAAATCCTTACAAAGCAATGTCTAAGGTCCTCCCTCCAGGATTTCATTTCAGACCCTCAGCCTTAAACAGAACCAGACAATTTTATGAATTTATCTTAGTGGATTCAAATTCTGTTTCCATTAAACATTATAAAGATCCAAAAGATCCATCTATAATTACCCACTCAACAATAAAAATTCTCAAAGTTTTGACCCCAAAGAGTTTAAAAAAATATATGAATTCCTACAAAAAATTTTCTCAACCATTTGATCATACAGGTTATAACTTGGTTAGTTTACTTTAAGAAAACCCAGAATTATGGATAGCACTACAATTTTCCAAACTGGTTCCTGTAATGGTAGGACTTCTTTGGACCTATTGAAGATATCCTTCTATCTCTAGTTAAAGAAGGATATGATCATTTCAAGAGAAGGTTTGTTCCTGAATCAAGAATAGGAGCTGACCTTAAATATTTTTCTACTTTTGCTCTTGCTTGGGCATTCTCATGGTAATATCGATATAGGAAAACAGAAAATCAGGAGATTCTTCCTATATTGCAAAGATATTCTTTTGTTAAGTAGTGAAATCAATTTAATGGAGATCATACAGGACCTTTAGTAGTTAATAATGTTTTTGGTGTAAATCCTTAGTATCTCAAGATTTCTAACCCAGAGACATCAAGATTTCTCAATCAAAAATCAAGAATTGCAGCATTCCTGACGGGTTGCAACTCAAAAGATCTAGAAAGTAATTTAAAAGATGTTCTTCTACTTCTTCAAAAAGATGAAGTAGAAACTTCTTCAAAGAAAGAATCAGACGAAGCCTACCAGAATGAAGATGATTGTTTTGGTATAAATATTCAGGAATTATGACTTATACTGTAGCTAATAGTTTTAGTTAATCAACCATAACTGTAAAAACAGTAATTTTTAAATTTCTATATAAGGAGTCATTGACTATGTTGTGAGACACCCTTTCATTTAGTCATTCAAGAGAGTTTTAGAGAGAGAAGCTCTGCTGAGATATCTTCTTTGTAAGCTTTTCTTTTAAAAGTTTAAATAAAGAATTATCTTTTCTGTATTTTTCTCTCTAACTGGTTCTGTTTGGATTACCTTTGTCCAACTTTCTTCTCTTCTCCCTCTACTGGTTCTATGCTAAATTTACCATCGTTCCAGTTTCTTATGTTTTAAATTCTTGCATTTATTTTTCTGCATTTCATTTAGTAGTCCTTTTATTGCCTATTTTCCTTGATCCACTTTGGGTTCTCTGGTATTATTATTATTATTATTATTATTATAACCATTTTTCATAAAATCATGATAGTAATTAAAAAAATTTCTTTATTTATACTTTACTTAATCAACATGTTCCTTCAATCTAACATTTTAATTTTATTTATTAATAAATAATTAAAATTAAAAATATATATTATATTATTATAAATTTATTATGTATCATAATTTTGTAAATTAATTTATTCATAATTATCATAAAAAATATAATTTTTAAGTAGTAAATAAAATATTTATTAATGTCATCATTAAATTTTTAAACAATTAGAGAATTTTTTTTAAAAAAAATTTAAGTATGTTGTTATTTATTTATTTATCTATCTTTTAAAATTCATTATAATTATTACTATTTTTATTTATTATATTTTATTTTAAAATAACTAATAATATGTATCACAATATATATATATATATATATATATTCAAAATTCATATATTTATTTATTAGTATTTTTTTTAAAATTCAACATATTATTAGTTCTATTATTATCTTAATTTATTACTTCTAAAATTTTAAAATATTATCTCAATTTTATTAATTTTATTATTATTAAATTGAAAAATAATTATTTAAAATTATGTCATATTTTAAATTTTTTTTTATTTCAATTAGAGAATGATTATAAAATTTTATTCATGCATGTATTAGTATTAATATTATAAACTGTGATAATATTTATTTATTTAAATATAATTTAATTATACGTGTATGGAGTTTATTATAACTATTTTTATAATTAATATTATATCATAGAAATTATAAATTAAATATATGCTCACTTATTTATTAATAATTTTTTAAAAATATTATATTTAATAATTCAATAATTCAAAATATATAGATTTAGAATATATAAAAAATATTATGTATAAGGAAGTATTTCATAATCTTTCTTAGTGTAATTATATTTAATATAATAATTTTTTATTATATTTATATATATTTTATATTTAAATTATATATTTTTATTTTAAAATAAATTTATTAACAAAAATAAATTAAACCCGTGCAAAACATGTTTCTTAGTAACATTTTGAAACTTAACGTCAAGATGTAATTAGAGTTTGAAATCAGACCAACCAGTTTATTTTTCTTCAATAAAAATAAAGATGCTTAAAATAAAATTTTAATATTATATTTCTTAATAATAGAAAACAGAATCAACCAAAAAAAAAGAAAATCATTTTTTCATCTGTATTCAAAGTTAACTAATTATTGAGATATCTAAAAGCCTTAACTCATCCTAAAAATACACATCCATGCGTTTAAAAAATATAAAGTGAATGCTTATAATAAAGGATTTATAACTCAATATTACTTACGACAACAGCATGGGAAAAGCCGTTTATATATAAAATATCTATGATCTATCTAGTTAGTGTGTTATTTTTATATGAATATAAACAAATAAATTTAGATTATATAATTATACATGTATGATAAAAAATAAAAGATAATTAAAATTATATTTTTTAAATATTATGACTTATATTCTAATTTTAATCATTCATAGTTAATGCAATGTTAGAATTTATTCTTTTGATTCTCACATATACAGCGTAATTTCAACGTTGTATAGAATAACTTATGGGATCAGAATATTGTTCCTAGAGGAACTATTATCTGGAAAACAATGCCCATAAATACCACAAAATTTTATTAACTTGATTGAATTAACAAACAACTTAGACTAACTAATAAGCATTTTTAGTAAATTTTCATTGTCGTTGGAATCAAAATCTGGCATTGAAATGGCACCAAAATTTTCATTTTTACTTTTCACATTTTGAAGACCTTTACAGTAGTTTTCATGGCTTCTCGACAGGGTCTTTACAAAAGCAAATTTAACTCAATCTTGTGGTGAGTAAAGTAACCCGTGCAGTGATTGTTAAGAAAAAGAAACGCCTTTAATTCAATGATCTCTTACCACTTCTATGAATTCAGTATATCAACTGGAACATTTTATCTCAAGAACCATTCTTATGAAGCAATTTTAATGCGAATAACCCCTTTTTCTTCTTCCGTGTGCAGCGCCCAAAACAAAATTCTTGGGTTCACACTTGAAAGCAGAAAGCTTTATAGGAGTGAAAGCAACAATATAATGTGCTCAGTACCCACTGACCACTTCTTCTCTTTATCTTTTTTCCAATTTTTTGTGCTCTGTTATCCAAATTATTATAGCGTTGGAAAACAGATAGAAGCCTCTTCATAAATAAAGAGAAAAAGGCAAATGCAAAGTGGGCCCGTTATCCCTTTTTGACATATTGATATCCCCCGAGGCTGCTTATCGTGCAGAGAATAGGGGAAATGATTTTTGTATTGATGACACTTTAGATGTTCTTTTTTATATTTTTAATATATATAATAAAAATATTTATACACATAATACATATAATATTAATTTTTAGATCAAATGGGGTGCCATCCAGATTCCACACTGGCTAAGTTATCTAACCTAGAGGGACTTGGCACCCCAAGACCAGAAGCCCAACTAGTGAACACTACAGGGATACATATCAGAAATCAGGGCATCAATTTGTTGAACTGATTGAGACCCTTTTCCATTCCCACAAGAAAGATGATCTAAATTTGGTGGGCCCCACACATCGTGAAAGACCCTCTTACTTTGGTCCGTTAAGCAAAAAAAGAGAGGAAAAAAAGGAATCAAACTAACTCGGTTTCCCATCCTGCGATGTCCATCTTTTTCAGTTTCATTTCACTTTCTTCACCTTTCTTATACCATCCTATATATACATTACAAACCCCTTAATCCCACACCTTCTATATATATATACACACATACCCACATAGATAGCTAGACCAATATTACCAATATGGCTCTTGTAATGCATTTTGCTGCTTTGACCCTCTATCTCTTAGTCTCAGCAATTGTGTCTCATGAAGCACACGCTTCAAGCCGTGGCTCCTTTGGCAAAATCGTCAACCCTGCAATGTATGGTATATGTGCCTCTTCTGTCATTATTTACGGGTACAAGTGTGAGGAACATGAGGTAATTAATTAAGAGCTTCAAAAATGTACACAAACAAAAACTGATTTTTACAGTGTTTTGAGAATGATTTAGAGTGATGATATGTTTGTAATCTGTTTAAATCATTTTCAGGTTACAACCAAAGATGGGTACATTCTGAGTCTGCAAAGGATCCCACAAGGTCGAGGTGAAGTTGGTGGGAATGGGAGGAAGCAACCAGTGATAATACAGCATGGAGTACTTGTGGTAAGTGAAATGCAATGCATGCACCCATCTCAATTCACACTTTCAGTTCCCCTTTTTCATTGCCAAGAAGATTACACAGTCCCTTTTTAATGGCTTACACAGTTCAATTAAGTTATTTATCTAAGTACGCACCTAATCTTGTATTAGAGATGCAAATTAAAGTAAAAACAATCGTGTCTCTTTCTCTAACAATTCTTTGGAATAATAGTTGGTTTAATGTAGAATCAGTCTTGATAACTAATGGTTGTTGGTAGCAATCCTCAAACACGTAAAAATGAAAATAATAATTAATTACTTCTTAACAAACATACATTAAACTTTTTTAAAAGAAAATTAAACACACATTTACTATTTTAGTGTTTAATCTTGTCTCTCATTCTTTGTATAGAGAGTTAAATTTCAAGATAAAGTGAGTTTATACAATCTCCATATTTTTAAGTTCAACTTCTATATATTAAAAAAGGATTAAAAATGTAATATGGAATAGCTTATGTGTCTATATTTAATATTTTAAATTTTTGGAATTGTTCGAAAGGTAGCTTCTTAGAAGAAGAGCAAAAATATCTACCCACCTGAAAATATCCTAATTGTACTTTTGAGGGATAGCGTGTTTTTTTAATTTTTTTTCAAATAAAGGTTTGTTTCACTTCCATTTTTCCTCTCATCTTTTTTCATAGAAGTAATAAGTATAAAAAGGGTATAAATTTGAAGTAATAGATGCATCGTAATTCATGATTGAGTGTGAACCTAACTATAAAGGTGACAAAAAGGGTGAAGTTCCGCGTCTGTCACATTATGGCACTAAAATAGTATCTAAATGGGAAGTATAGAAATGCTTTCTTCTTGTTATTTTAGTCAAAAGGTGACAGATTAGTGATCGATGCTCCTGTGGCCATGTGTCTAGTTGCTTAAGACATAATAAGTTACACTTTGTTAAGCAAATGACGTTATAATTAAGCTAGCGAAAGGTACATGAAAAGCAATCATCACCAGAGATAATTTAGGAAAAGGGTGTTTTGTATATATGATCCTCTAAATATCAATCTCATGTTTCTATAATAGTATATAAATGCTTTACATTACTTGCTAAGGTCAACTGAATAAATGAATCAGCTTTATAGTATTAAATTCTAATCTAAAGCCTTATAATAAACCAATTTTAATCTTTAGTAAAAGCAATCAGACCAACATTGCGTTGATTTACTCGAGTCAACATCACTAAACTTTTTGACCCAGTGAGTGTGATCCAGCACACTATATGCAACAGCAATTATCCCCTTCAGATGGCTTTCAAGTTAATGTTTCCTGCGATATTCATGCTTCATTATGACTTTTAAAAGGATTTTCATGTTTTTCTTTCTTCCTTTTGTGTTACTTTTTGGTTATACACTCACAATCATCGTGACTTCAAGTTGACGAAAAAGTGTATGGTAACATTAGGAACCTCAAATTTTCAAATGTGAGAAAACCCTAATCCTTAAAATTAATTTTTTATTTAACAAAATATATTAGAAAACATAATTTAGTCATTGTCAGCCCTTAAATGATTACTGCACTAAGCCACTAATTCTGGTTATTTAATCAACCTCTAGAAAGTCTAGACCCATATATAACAAAAGCATTCGCAAAACGTGTGAGATCCATACATTTTTTCTATATTCCTACTAATTCTCTTATGAAGAAAATAATAAATACTTACATTTTTAAAATATTAACTATATTTTATTTTTAATTTGATATTTTTAATAAAGTATTGTAAGAAACCAAATTTGGCCCGTGCATAACCGTAATGAATAATATTATATCTTCTAATCTTGTCTTATTAAATCTCTTTACATTTAAAAAACATACAATTGTATTTAATATTTTTTTTCACTTAATAGGAAAATATTTAAAATATATGATCAGGATATATGTACTAGTGGCTTGGAACACGTTAAATGGTGCCGCCCAAGTTCTGAAACTTTGAAGAATCACATCTGCCATCACCAGAAAAAAGAACTTGTTTTGTAATTCCAATTATAATTTTCATGATAAATTGGTGACACATATTTACCACGTACACAAGATAGCTAAAAGCAAGCTTGAAAAATTTAAGAACCCGAAAATCTATGCACCGTCTGAAGCAAAACGGTAGGAACCCCCACTGATTGCAAATGTCATACACACACTTTGATTATGATGCAGCTCTGCCACATTATTTGTGCTGAAGAAAACACTATTTGCAGGATGGTATGACATGGCTTCTGAACCCACCAGAGCAAGATCTACCCTTGATTTTAGCTGATAATGGCTTTGACGTGTGGATTGCTAACACCAGAGGAACCAGATATAGCCGCCGACATACTTCATTGGACCCTTCTAGCCCGGTTCGTTTTTCATTTCTTCTTTTTCAGCTTTATATTTTAGAATCTCGAGTAAGGTGATATGATTTTATATCATGTTAGACTAAAATTATATAATGTTATTAAATTTTAACTAATGGGTCTTATAATTAATCATGATAAATTTTTATTTGATACAAGTTTTTTCAGTATAATCATATATATCACGTTACTGAATAATCCATATCAGATTTAAATTTATGTTTTTCTAAATTAACATTTCTGTGTAAATGTGGCAGGCCTTTTGGAATTGGTCTTGGGATGAACTTGTTTCCTATGATCTACCTGCCGGGTTTGATTACGTGTTCAGCCAAACGGGGCACAAGATTAATTACATTGGCCATTCTCTGGTATTGCGTTACGTCCTTTATTACATCCTTTTATTTTCTTTAAGTATTCTTGGAATTGAGTTATTTTGAGCAATTATACTAACAATAATAATATCTGGGAAATTTAAATAAACTTTAGTGTGTTATTCCTCTGAAAGTGGAAGACCATGTTTGGCAGGGAACTTTGATAGCTTTGGCGTCCTTCTCAGAAGGGGAATTGGTTAATCAGGTGAAATCAGCAGCTTTGTTGAGCCCAATTGCCTATTTAAGCCACATGACCACCGCACTTGGTGTCGTTGCGGCCAAGTCCTTTGTTGGGGAGGTACGTGTTACTTGTAAAATTGCCTCTTGTTACTACAAAATCATGTGTATACATCATACAGACAAAGAAGCAGACGCATTTGCTGACTCGGGAAAAATCTTTTTCTTGCCAAACAGATCACTACCCTATTTGGTCTGGCAGAATTTAATCCAAAAGGGTAAGAATTCTTACATTGAACTCACAATATAACAAGCTATCTCCTCATACTCTTTTGCTCTTCGTTTACATGGCTCATTTTAAGTATTTAAAATTAGAAGAATTTTTATATCTAAAATATCTATTACACTTGCATATTTTTATACAATAAATGTTTTTTTTTACTATTATTTATAACTTATTTTAAGGACAAAACATGTGTTGTTATTTAAATGTTATTGTTGTTGTTGAAAATTAGAGTTTTATTTTAGGAAAAATTTAATTTTGATTATTAATTGGACCGCCTGAAGAACTTTACCTAAGTTTTATTCTACTCTTAAACCCCCATTACCATTCTATCTGCAAGTTAATGCTCTCTCAACAACTACATTGCATAGGTTACCTGTTGATGCCTTTCTCAAGTCTCTCTGTGCTCACCCTGGGATAGACTGCTACGATTTGATGGCTGCACTAACTGGTCTAAGTCTTTTCCCAAACTCTATGACTTGTTAACGATTTGAATTTTAGCATTTATATATGGGACACATTTTTTATAGAAATAAATCAACCTATCCAAGTTTTGTAACTATATAAGTGGTTGAAATGTGATGTCCTATTTTCAGGTAAAAATTGCTGCCTCAATTCTTCAACTGTTGATCTATTCTTGATGAATGAACCTCAGTCAACATCAACAAAGAACATGGTGCACTTGGCTCAGAGTAAGATTTTCCCATCTAGCAACTTAACTAGGTACTACTGTATCACATTTAATTACTATTAAAATTAACCAAGAAAATATTACATGGTGCACTTTGCAGTTGTTAGAAATGGGGTCTTGACAAAATTCAATTACGTTATACCAGACTATAATATTAAGCATTATGGAGAAATATTCCCTCCAATCTATAACCTTTCCAATATTCCCCGTGATCTCCCTCTCTTCATTAGCTACGGGGGTGCAGATGCTCTTTCAGATGTTCGTGATGTTGAGAATTTACTTGATATACTCAAGTTCCATGATGAGGATAAGCGTAGTGTTCAGTTCATCAAGGACTATGCTCATGCTGACTACATTATGGGCTTCAATGCCAAGGACTTAGTGTATAATGCTGTTATTTCATTTTTCAATCATCAAGTTAACACCTGAAAGAAGCCAACTACATCTTACAAAGAATCAACATGTAAGAAACAAATAGACTTGTAATAGCTATCACAGAGATAATGAAGAATTAAGTAAATGGCCAATTATACAAGTAATGATGTATCACTACCAGTCATTTGTTTTTGCACTGTATTGCATTGCAATGGTGAGGCTACTAGCATGAAATCAACTGGATAAGACTTCTCAAAAGAATTAAAAACTAAACTGTTTCCAAAGTTTGAAGAAGCATCCCAGATGCATATTTATTACTGACGCAACTAGAACCAAATATATGCATGTTCCAATCAATGATGGAAAGCTCACCGTTCAAATATTTCAGATGAAATACAGACATTCAAGTTTTCAGAACTGCAACTTTTTCAAATTAGTTTTTTCTTGTTCATTATATTTACAAAGCTTTTCTTAATCAAATCCATCTGCTTGGACAGACGTATGGTTATATATGCCTTAAAGATAAGGACCCTTCCAAGATCCAACTTTTCTATATCTACGTTCAAACAGCTAGTACTGATTATGGCTATTTATAATTCAAATTGGCTGCACTACGATGATATAATTTAGATATCCTTGTTGTGAAATGCTAATTGAAAGAGCTACCCGAAAGTACTCTAAAAAGGTTTAAAAGCTCTAGATATCCTTGTTGTGACATAAATTCCTTTTAATTTATTACTGGTCTTCTCCTATTCTACAAAGGTTTAAAAGCTTCTCTAAGCTTGCCCCTTTAGTCTGTGCCCGAAAGTACTATATCAAAAAAATAAACAGATGAACAATAATAGATCTTATACTTAATTGAATAAATCTCATTCTAAAATACTATGATTGCCTAAAAGAAACACATGAAAACATTTTATATCTAGAATTTCTTCAGTAAGATGGATTGAAGAAAATATGACTCTACTTGTTTAAAGTTAGAAAATCAATTATTGCACTTTTAATTAAAAAATATAAGTTTCAAATGTATATAATTCACACTAATTTAACAACACTTCTCCATCATATCAATATTTCAAAATCAATTTCATCACAATCTATTCCATCCAACTTTAAACTAAATAGCACTAATATTGACACTTGAAGCCCTTTATTTGGCATGTTGGATTGTTAACAATTTTCCACATTCTAAGGACATGCAGATTCAGTTGCTGTATTTCTTTTCCTTTTCCATTTTTTTCCCTACATCTCGATGAAAATCAGGTAAGTAATTTATTTATCTGATTCCACCAATGTACTCATCACTAAGGTTTAAGAACAGCTGCCACTAGCCATAAACCTATTTGATTCTAGCCTTCTAGATGTATCTATCTTTTGATTTCTTCTTCTTCTTTTTTCCCCCCTTTTTGGGCCATTATCTGTCATGCGAATTAAAATTTGAGCTTCCAGACCAGCCATCCCCTTAGATGATTCGTGCAAACTTTGTTTGAACGTAAAGCTTTAACAACTGTTATACCCACCAAGTTTACTTGGCGGCCAATCCAAACACTTGAAAAAGAAGACACAACACAAAAATGTACCTTTTGTTTAACCCATTGAATGAAGCATTCTTTATATTTTCTAACATGTTACAACAACTCAGATTTAATATTATTTTCAACATATTTAAGATACGAAATAACCTGTTATTTTCAATATAAACAAGTTAAAATTGGGGTATTGGGGCATAGGACGTTCACTGATTATGAGTATATATAGTAATGAATTATAACGATGCTCAGACATAACCAAGATAACATAACCCAAAAAATTAGAAAGCAGAGGCAGAGAGCCAAAAGAGAGAGAGATGGGGTGCAAGATCACAATTTTCATGGCATTGAGTGTTGCTTTGATCATAAAAGTTGTCATGGCAGAACAACATGTTGTTGGTGGAAGCCAAGGTTGGGATGAATCCACAGATTTTAACTCTTGGGTTTCAGGCCAAAGATTTAAGGTTGGCGATCAACTTGGTATGTTTCTTATTCTTACCCATATTTACTAGAACACTCAAATAAAATTAAAAATAACAAAAATCCCTTGAATGAATTGGAAATTTTTTTCTTCAAAATTGTTGATTAACAAGATCCTATTCTCTTGGCAGAGTGAACCACTCAATTAAAAAAAATATCCCTTAAATGAAATGGAATTTTTTTGGACAAAGTTGTTATGAATTTGATTAATAAGATCAATAACTGTTTTCTTTTCCTTTGGAATTGGCAGTTTTCAAGTACTCTTCAGGATTGCATAGTGTGGTTGAATTAGGCAACGAGAGTGACTACAAGAATTGTGGCCTTGGCAATGCAGTGAACTCTATGAGTAGTGGCAATGATGTTGTAAAACTGAACAAACCTGGTACACGTTACTTTGCATGTGGAACCTTGGGTCATTGTAGTCAAGGCATGAAGGTGAAGATTAAAACGGTGTCTGGGAATGCACCCTCTTCCCCTTCATCTTCGTCATCATCTTCTTCATTCTCACAAGGCTTAATCACTGTTGCACTCTTTGTTTCATTGTTGATTGCCTCTCTCCTTCCCCAGTTTTGATTGATGGATAAGTTGGGTTTGCTTGTGTTTCCAGCGTGGACTTGTTGGCCTTGGATTTCGTTGTGTTTGTTGAAATAATAGTTAAATAACATTGGTCATGGGATGTTATTCTTTTCATCATCCTTGAATTTTTGCAAGTATAATAGCAATTCCTTCATAATGTGTCCTTGTGTCATCTTGTTTTTGTTTAAGGAAAATTAAATGTTTTATCTTAGAAACATGAAAGATATATACAGTTTCTTGTATTATTTTAATGTAATAATAATCCAGAATTGATTAGTAATAAGCATGTGTCTTAAGTTTAAATCACCATAGTGTAAGCATGTGTATTTTTGACTAAAATGGTTAGAAATTTATGAAAGACTTGCTGACCAAATTTGATAGGTTTAGAAACAAGACATTTTGACTATTTCTTATTGGCTACCCGAAATATTTTATCTAAGACTTAAACTTTATTGTTTATAATTTTATGAATAAAAGGAAATAAAATTTTAGTGTGGGAAATACAATATGATGCATCTATATATGTGTATTAGATCCTAAATTTGATGCAAAAACAAAATCCTAACCTCCATTAAAGACAAACATTCAGCCCTGCCTTTATACACCAATTAAGATCTTGTTTTCATTCAGTTCTATATCATAAATAGACCAAATTTAGAGAGTAAAATCAAGTTACGATAAATAATCACGCGGAGAGATAGAGTTGGAGTAGAAAGAAAAGGGTATGTTCAGAAAAACAAGTCAAGAATCTTAAGATAGGAGGACTCTTAAATGCTAGAGTTCCATGGAAGCTTGAGATACCAGGTCTTCATATTAGGTTTTTTGTTCTTTATGTTTTATTTTTTTTATGATTAATTGATGTTATGACTTGATTGATTTGCATATGTGATAAGAGTTTTGATCCTTGGGAGATTTTAGAGTTGTAATTTTGAGAATTTCTCTCCTCACAAAGTTTGGAGAACAATCTTTGTATATACATGGTTACTTATTTTAAATAGAAATCACAATACTAAGCTAAGTGTTAACACTTCAATTTAGATAAAAGAAAAATAAGAAAATATTTATTAAAACAATCATTGTGATAAGAAGTTAATTTTGTGTTTTTAAAAATTTGACTCTATAATTATAGAAGTTAAAAATATTTTTATAAAAGAATAGTTTAAGCATTTAGAAGATGAAGAATGTTCGTAAAGCATTTTATAATATTTTTTTTAATACACTTTTAATTATTATTAAAAGTTATGAGTATTTTATTCTTTTTTACTTTTAATTTAATATTTTTCTCTTCCTCGTGCTTTTATAAATCTTACCCAAAAATTTTGAGGCATAGTTTCTATCTGTTGAAACATGCTCTTTTCTCTTTTAAAGTGCATGGTTATTACTTACAGATGTCTATAAATATTTTAAAAGGACATTTATTAAAAAATTATTTATTAGTTTTTATGAAAGATGTTTCTAACAATCTGACATATATTTTTAATTACGTTATGCATATTTGATAAAATACTAATCTTACTTGTTTAATTGTTTTGAAAGGACATTTATTAAAAGCAAAGTTATTGTTAAGAAATGATACATCAGAAACTTAGGCTATATTATTAAAAAACGTCACAGTAATACAAGTTAGAAGATTTTACGCTCAAATCTTAATAATACTTCTTTATATTTATAAATATTTATATTTATATTTATATTTATAAAAATATAGATTTAGTTTTTATATTTAACATATTTTTTCAATTTTATATTTATTATTTAATCTTTATTAAAATAAATATTTTTAGACTAATCTTTATTACTTAAAACGTACTTACAGTGCTAGACAGAAGAGACCAAAATTCAAATAAAAATAAAAATACTTGTATGAGAATTAAAATATACATTTTAACAATATGAATGAATTTGTAAATAAATGTAAGCTATAAGGATAAAATGTGTATTCTAATTTATTCTAATTTTTAAAAAAATACAATACACTAAATTTGATTTAAAAAATATGTATTATAACTCAATTTTGTTTTCAAAAAACACTTAATTTTTTATTAATCAAATTTTTTATTTTATACATTTTTGTTAATTTGAATCTTTAGGGTTGAGTTTAAATATTTATTAAAAAAAGGTACATTCATTGTATTAAAGTTAATAAATATTTTTTAATAAAATTTTATTATAATTAGTTACCTAAGCTCGATCTGAAGATTGAAATTAATATTTTCTTATTTTTTTATTTTTTTATCTTTTATCGTACCTTAAAAAATTAATAAAGATTAATGTTAATATTTTCATTATAATTTTTATCATATATCAATTTTCATATAATCTTTAAAAATATTATTTTGTCTAAAAAATAAAAAAATTTACTATAATTGAGATATGAAACTACACTAAATATAAATTTTTATTCTCTTAAGATTTCATATTTTTCATTTAATTTTTCATTTTTTTCTATACATTTACCAAATTTTTATTATTGTTTCATGTTAGAATAAATATTTTATCTTTATAAGATATTTTATTTATAAATTAACCCCTAAAGTTTAATGTTTATATTTTAGTCCTCATACAAGTATTTATTTTACATTTTGATCTCTTTTGTCTAACACCATTAACACATTTTTAAACAACAATGACCAACTCGAAAATGGTTACTCATGTTAGAATTAAAATATTTTTTTTAATGTAGAAACTAAATTGTAACTTTGAAAATAAACTACAACTTGCAAAGAATGTCAAGTTCAAGGTAAAATGAAGAGATTTTTTTTATGACATTCAAGATTATGCATATTTCTAAGATTACAAAGTAAAGATGCAGTTTAAGATATTAGCATAAGCAAGTTTGCACAAAAAAAATTGAGTTTAGTTAAATTGTCAAAATTTGTAATGTCACAATTCAATTATCTTCTTGGACATGTTCTACCATTGATATGATCCTAGATCATCATAACAAAAACCAAAAGATGAAAGAAGCCCCAAGTTGGGTCACAGACTTTGTATCCAAAATATAGTATAAGGAATATAGTTAGTTAAGTGGTTAGTTGAGTTGCTAAATACGGAGGACCTTTATTCTGATTGGTTGATAAGGTAGGTAGTTAGGCATTAATAGGAATTGTTGTAATTAGTGAAACCTTATTAGTATATAAGGACCTCCTCTATCAATTGTAATGGATATTTTTTGGAGATATCAATAAAACTAACAGAGGGTACCATCTTTCTTTTCTTGGAGTTCCAAACCTGACTCGAAGAAGGTTTAACATTTGGCGCTTTCATTGAGTTCTTCACCAAGTGCTTGCTTATGGCTGAAGGTACAAGAATCTCTGAACTCAAAGCTGAGATCTGTCAAGAACGTGAAAACCGCTTAGCCTTTCAAGCGGATATGTCCGAAAAGATGTCAAAGATCATGCAATTCATGGAGGAATTTGCCAAGAACAAGCATGATGAAGATGTTAGCTCCAATCGTTCTCATGGCAGAGGGAATAATGAGGACAATGGTCATTCAGAACACATGCATCATCGAATTCCCAGAAACGATTTACCATACTTGATGAGTCCCACATCAGTTGGGAGGAGTGACTTATCAGTCTTTAAATAGCTGTGGCATCCTTCTTTATAGCATGAGGCCTTTTCCTAGTGTGTCATATCTGGGAGAAACAAAACCGTGAGGGGTTAACTCCCAAAGTAGACAATATCATGCTAACCGGTGGACTGGGTGTATGTTATCATTTGGTATCAAAGCTTGGGCCGGAGCCGGTGGACCTTATCGGCGAATTCGTGCCAGCTTAAGTGCCTTATCGATGTGTCCGTGGCGGACTCTCTCGAAGAGGGAGGGGATGATGAGTCTCACATCAGTTGGGGGGAGTGACTTCTCAGTCTTTAAATAGTTGTGACGTCTTTCCTTCTAGCATAAGGCCTTTTCCTAGTGTGTCATATCTGGAAGAAACAAAACCGTGAAGGGTTAACCCCCAAAGCGGACAATATCATGCTAACCGGTGGACTGAGTGTATGTTATCAATTGGTATCAAGAGCTTTGGTTAGAATTGGATTGAAAGGTACTGTTCATCGCACACTGTTAACGTAGTGCTCATTGAAAGAAAAAAAAGAGAGAGAAAAATATATACTACAAAAAAAAAAATTTGCAATATACAAAAGTGTGTTTTTGATAGATTTCTTCTAATCTTCCGTTTATTTTGCTTGATTCCATACCGAAAAAAAAAGTTGTTATTTAACATTACATAATCTTTAAATTCTTCAATTTTGTCTTATTTGCAATCTACTTTTGAGTGTGCTTATTTCTTATTTAGTTCTTTTCTTTTTCTATTGTCTTGTTGGCTTCTTTAGTTTTGTCTTAGAGTTTTCTTTTGTTGGCTTCACTTGTTTCTCATTGATTGATCGTCTCTTAGTTTTGGTTGATTGTGTGGATTGGAGGTTGACTTCCTTAAGAACTCTTGAGAGCACTTGAGGGGAAAAAGGCAAGAGAGAAATCCTTACACAAAAGCCAATTTAGAGTGAAACACGAGTGAATATCTACTGAGTGAAAACACTTAGCGAGTGGAGAGAACCTTTTCTTTTTGCATTAACTTTTATTGTTTTGTAAAATGTCTCAAGAAGGAGGATCAAGTAGAGAAAGCACTCCTGCCTCGCAAATTGAGAGACTTGCTCAAAGATTTGAAAGAATGTTTGAGAGGCAAAATGAAGCAATAAGGAATATTTAAGAGGCGCTAGCAAATAATGCAAGAAGGTGATCACGTGATCGTTCCCCACATGCCCATGGAGACTCTAGTAATTCTTCAAGAGAAAGAAGAAATAGGACAGATGATGAAGAAAGGAGGTATGATAGGTGGAGAGATAATATAGAGAGGAGGAATCAAAGAAGAAGAAGAGAAGATATAAGAATAAGAGAAAATGAGAGAATTGGTGGAGTTAAAATAAAGATTCTTAGTTTTCATGGAAGGAATGATGTTGAAGCATACTTAGAGTGGGAATTGAAGATAGAGCAAGTATTTTCATGTCGTGATTATAGTGAAGAAAAGAAA